ATTTCATGGAATAAGCATTGGTATGTTGTAAGAAACAGTGACAAAATTTTCCTGACCCCATCTTAACAAAAGCCATAGGCATGTCTATTGTGTTTGACTTGGTGATGGGCTGATGCCTAGGAATCCAAGGCGTTTTTTTTTGTCTGAGTGTTTCATGCTTTTTGAATTTTCCGTTATTTTGTTATTGAATTCCTTTGCTTTGTCTTGTGTAAAAGTGATGTGGAAGGGAAGTGCAAAGTACAGCATAAAATTATTGGTGTTAATAATTGTTTATGCTCATTACACTGTCATGGAATTACTATGCTTTAATGTATTCTGTTTCACCTTAATGGCTTAAGATATTAAAAACCAAAAAGTTGCGTCAGGTTTATGATATTACGCCCATGCCGACGTGAAATAGATGTCTTTGTTTGCTAAAGCATCAGTCACGAGCTCATAAGTTCCATCCACATGGAGTCACATTCCACAATCCACATCCACATTCCACATGGAGTTGCACTTTTTTGTCAAGGTAGCTACGGCACAATCACTCATCACTGCAACCACACACGCAGCGCAGTCCCCCGGCCCGCCATGGCGCATGATCCTAACGCGCTAGTCTACCGAGACCCGTGCTGCCACCTAGCGCGAAAACCAAAAGTATGGCTTCAGCCGCCTTGGAATACTGTGGTACAATACTCTCCTCTCGGTTAGGTGCCACGCAAAACCAAAACCACAAAAACGCAGCCGCAATAGAAGTCGCGCGCGGGGCCGGCGAATAAACAAGGAAGGAAGGCAAACATATGCACATGAGGCCACTGCGCGTTGACGGGAAAAATCCGCGTGCGCGCGCATGCCTGTAAATCTAAACGAGCTGGGGCACGACGAACACGCATAGAATGTCGCCGAGCGCGCACTGACGAACGCGACCCTGGGACCGGAAGCGGCAGCGCCAGCACGCCAGGCGGAAGGGCGCGCGGAGGCGCCGTCCCGTCGGGTACAGGCGAACGCTCGGCAGCCACGGGGAGCGGCCGATATGCAGGCCGGCGTACCGACCACGCGAGGATGGCAGAAAAGGCCTCGAATGGCACCGCGCGCAGTAGCAGGTGTGCGCGGTGGCGGGTGAAGATCCGGCCATCAGTCAGCTGAACTTGACAGACTGGCCCATCAACAGCTAGCGCAGCTAGCAGGGTAGGGTAGGGCCCAGCGCGCTGGTAAAGCGCGCTGATGAACAGCTACCGCTGGCCCCGCCGAGCTGGGCCGACCTGAACCAGACAGGCTGGCGGTGCGAGCTGTCATGCTCCTGCAACCAGACGCACGCCGCCCGTTCAAAGCTGATGAGAGCACACACTACCTCACTCTTCAGCACAGCTTCCTAATCATGCACGCTCATTTTCCACTAGCTTGCGGAATAGCTAGTTGATTGGCAACGCAGTTCAAAACTTCACAGAAATGTGGAACGCTTTGTAACAGCACTAGGCTTCTTCCCTGCAGTCGCGATAGCCGTCGTCATGACGACGGCAGAATCTGCTAGGTATCGTTGTTAGCTGTTACTGAATAACATTGGTGCAAACAAACGTTTTCGTCGCGGGCGGCAAAGGCCTCTTTCGAAAAGTGCATTGGTTGGATTTGAAGTAGTGCGTCACTATAGACCATGTGATACTCCGTTTCCCAAAGCCAAAATGCACTTAGAAAAGAGTCGCTGTAGTATACTCCTAAGGGTAGAATTCAAAACAATAATAACGCGGTTCGTTGAATTTGCAGAGTAATAGCTTCCTGCTCGCGTATCTGTTTGTGTGAGCAGTGTCTCAAGCTTTCATGACATTTATTTGCAAACATGTTGACAATGTAGCGTGTTGCATGCATTACAGAACACACACGTGAAAAAGCAAGGCAAATGAGTTTTATTTCTTTCATAGTGGTGAGCAGGGAGTCCAATGATATTTCTGCCACAGGATTCTTCGTTTAATATCTTCGTTTTTTACCTTCAGCATCTTCAGGATACTTCGTTTCTAAATTTTGAGGTATTTAAGATTTTGAGGAAGCTGGTATTACCGATCAAATCGCAAGCGTCTGCCCTAACAAGTGAAAAGTACAGAAAAGGTGGCATCCAGCAGCACGCTCACTCCAGCTGCATTAACATCCGACGCCCGTTGGCCGTGAGCGTGTGTTTGTCTCCAAATACTAGAGACTTTTCGCCTAGGGAATTCTATGGGTATTTGGTGGACATCTTGCGGTATAAGAAATTTACCCAGATTTGCTGAGGCAACGGCGAACAGGACTAGATGTCGTATGGGATCTTGGTTTGGTGGCAAATTCAAGGTGGCATTTGAATTCGGTGAAACGATCTTCGTGTTATTCATGTATGTGCACCAAGTCACAACTGAACAAATGCATTGTCCCTGCAAATGATGGAGCAGTTGCCTACGTAGCTATTGAACACACTGCCTATTCGCTGTAGAAGAGAACGGACAGCATTTTACTGTAGGACATGCACCCTAAAGCTCAATTCATCATCATCATTACGAGCAGTTTCTGGCTGCTCTCGTCGTTTTCAGTCTGTCAATTCTCATTGTCCGATACGTATCAAACTTATGACGGTCATCTGGTGCAAGTGAAGCCGCTTGTGTGAGGCTTAGTTTTTTTTCCTCAAAGCCATCTAAGCCCATCCGCCAAAAAGTCCATCTACTTCGCCAGGTGCTCCAAAATATGGGTGCGTTAAATTTCATGCTTGAGTGCGCTGAGCTCAGTTCAGGTCAAACTTACTTAAGTTTTAAATCCTTTTGCGTGAGAATGCTTTTTGAAGTGCGCTTGGGACACATCCCAGACGTTAATGTGCCGAATCTTATGTTTGAGTCTGCATAACTCAGGTCAGATGTAAATGCACTAAATTTTCAACTTATTTCGTGCGGGAAAGTTTTTTGAAGTATGGCTGTGTGAAATGACTTGCAACGCCCCATGCCTAGGAATAAAGCTTGTGTTTTGACATTGATGGTGACTGTGCAACAGGGGCGCTGAAACCATGTTCAAGCGCGGAGTGGGCAAGCTCCAAATGTCAAAATGAGCCCCCTTCAGGTTGGAATGACCCTTTACAGTTAATAGTGGGTCATTTACAAGTCAGAATTAGCCTCATAGGACCAGAATGTGCTCGCTGCAGGACAAAACAGGCCCTCTGCAGTTTATTATGTCCCCCCCCCCCCCCCAACAGATTAGAATGGGCCCACTGCAGAATGTGACAGAATGAGACATTTACAATGGGATAAAATCGGACATCAGAATGGCACGTCTACGAGCCGGAGTGGGCTTTCGTTCGCCCAGATTGGACCCTTTACAGGCCACAATGCACCCTGTACAGGCCTAAATGGGCCATCAGCAGCCGATAATGGCTCCTGTACAGATCAGAATGGGCACTACATTCAACAATAGGCCCAATGTAGGCCAGAATGGGCCCTCTATGGGCGAAAACTGGCCTTCCACAGTCAATAATGGGACTTCAGGAGACCAGTATGCGTTCTTTGCAAGCCACAATGCCAGGAACTACTGTGTCAATAATGGGTCCTCTGCGAGCCTGAATGGGCCCCTCTATAGGCGAGAATGAGCCATGAATATGCTAGAATTGGCCCTCGAAAGTCAGTGATGAACCCTCTATAGGCCAAAATAGGCCCTCTGCAGGCCGGAATGGGCTCTCCAGTCAATAATGGGCCGTCTGCAGTTCAGAGTGAGCTTTTACTGGCCTGAATGACTTTCTTCAGGTCAGAATTGGTCTTCTACAGGCCCACAAAAGCCTCATTTGGTCGAAATGGCTCCTAAATAGATAAGAATGAACCTCGACGGCCAAAATGGGCTTTTACAGGCGTTACACAGTTTTCAGTTCAGAATCGGCCATCGATATATCAAAGCAAGTGAGCCTCCACAGGTCTCCAAGTTGGGGGCGCCCCCCCAGCTTTCCAGTTGGGGCCGGGCTGCCCTCCCCACCCCCCCCCCCCCCCCCCCCCGGCAGTTCCCGCGTTCCTTATTGTGCACCAAACACTGAATGCTTGGATTCATGACATACATTTTAACCCCGATGTCATTGTTGCCCGAGACGTGCTTAAAGGAAAATTCTGCATAGCGGTCCGGCGTAAGCCCCTGACTGCAAAGTGCGCGTTATGCTTCCAGCTAGGCTGGGTAATTGCTGTTATTCACGCGGTCATAAAGATGGAGGCAGGCTTGGCATCCGGGTCATGTTCATCACCTATGGTAGTGCATAGGAAATCAATGTTTGAGTAAATCATAATATTTCAGGGTCAATTTCAGACAAGGATGCCCCACAGCATTCTTGAAGCAAGTTATTTTGAACTTTGGTGCAGTTTGGTCAAGCCTGTGTTTGGTGCATGCTTGTGCCAGGTTCAGGTTCAGCGCTATTTTAGGGTAGGGAAGATTTTGCAAGGAAATAAAGGAGCTTTCTCAACGCCCACCTTCCCTCCCCCCCCCCCGAAGAGCGCGATAATGTTCAGCATCGTTTCTTTCCAAAGAACTCTGCTCCATCATTTGCTTTGGTTCCCTCAACTGCCCCCATCTGTGGCAGTTTTACTTTCTCATGGGTTGTAAGAACGTTAATGTTGTCTTGTTATCTGTTCATTCGCGGCTTCCCAGTTCCGGATCACGCGCACAGCGCTCCACAGTTGGCGTCTGTATTTGAACTGAACCACCGTAGTCCAACGGAATCGCGTCAAGGTACACGGTGGCGCACAAGGCACAATGGCGATGTGGGGGAACTGGCTCTTAAATTGGGGGCGCCACGCGTTTAACATGGGACATCACGTGACAAATGTATGATTTTCAATGCACTATTTATGCATGCAACATGCCGTCGCGTTAAGTAGCGTTTGTGCAATATTGCCGGTGAATCCCAGCCGGCTAGAATCCCTAGAATGTACGCTGCCCCCGAGGTTGGCATCGCTGCGTCATGTGACGTCACAGATCTGACCTTGACGGCGCGCGACGCCGATGGGGGAGGGGGCGGCGACCGCTGTCGATGGTCTGCCAACAGATCTATCCGGCGCAGTTGTGCTCGCTGCGGCTGGGGGGTTGCGCGCCGGCTCCCGTTGGGTTGCAGCTGTGGTGCCGTGTGGCGGGCTGGTGAACCGAATCCCTAGCGTGATGCTGCGGCTGTTGGGGAGGCAGGCGCTGGTGAGGGCGGCGGCGCCCGCGCAGAATGCCTGCTACGCCACGGCGGCCATACCCCAGCCGGTCGTGAAGCCCGACATCCAACACACAGGGGTGAGTGCTGAAGTCGGCCTAGACTGTGGAACATTGCGCGTTACGCCGAACATGCCGGCGAACCAGCGACATCATGGCGGCACCTTCAACGCGTGTGTTTCATAAACCACAGCGGTCAGAGCTCTGCGCGCGGTCGCTGCCAATTTCAGCGCGTGAATAGCCGACGTTGCAAGGAATAATGACGTTTCTGAGGGGATTTGAGTTAAACAGTCTGCTTAAACTCACGCGAAATGACTTGAAATTCCTCAAAAGTTGTTAGGCCTGAGTAGGAACCAAAAAAGACATCCTGAGTACATTAGCCCTTTGGTTAAAAATAGGATGCCGAGATCCGTCCTGGTAGCTCCTCCGCTGGCCATAGCACCTGCCTCCAAATCCACTCATCCGTGGCGGAATGAGTGGGTCACTTTAGGCGCTCGCTTTTAATAGAGCTAGCTAGAGAGAGCTAATAGAGTAAACTCTATTTACTCGTTGCTAGGTCGCTTTAGGCGCTAGTGACGCCCGCAGGTCATACCTTTACGTGCGGCTGGGCTCCACGACATCTTTGCTACAACAAATACTGTCTCTAACCGATAGGAGTGGTACGAGATTAGGTCTACTGCCAATACTTATACACGACATTAGACATCACTGCTACACGGCAAAAATTGTGCTTCCAGAATGGTATCCGTCATTGCTTCTGCGAAGCCACATCTAGTCACTGTGTTGGGTCGCCACATCTGCCGCGCGTCCGGCCGACCTCCGCCCGAAGGCATTTCCGTACCGCTCCGCCGTCGCGCGGAGCCGGCTGCCTGCGGTGGCCGTCCGCGCCTCTCCCGCCGGGCGCTCTTGACTGTTTAAATCGCTGACTGATTGGCTGACGCTGCTTACACCTGTGTGTTTAGGTGTATCTGTGTGTGCTTTTTTTCTTGTGCGACTTGGCGCTGGAAAACCACCGCCACGTACGCGCCGGCAATAGAATGTAAATGTAAAAATTAATAATGCACGACATTAGTTCCACTGCAAATACTTAAACGTGACATTAATGCTATACTACAAAAATTATGATTCCAGAATTATGCCTGCTGTTACCTCAACTGCGACAACTTTTAGTGTTTATGCACATCACCTGTACTGCAAAGACGTACGCGCTACGTTAGTGCCTACACCGCAAAACTTACGCGTGATGTTAGTGCTCTACCACGAAACTTATGCCTCAAAAGTGTGTAGCTGTCATCACTTTTACTGCAAAACTGGTATGGTCTTCACGCGACATAACTTCTACTGCCAATCCTTTCCATGAAGTGCAAAAAGCGTGGAACATTGTCAGGGGTGTAGGAACAATTTACGGATAAGGAGCGAACCAGAATTGGTCAATGCTGCAATTGAATAGTCGTGGTGCTGATACAAAAGGGGTTTCATCCATTACGTTCCGTGATTTTGTAGGTTCGTCGTGCTTCGTGAAAGAGGAAAGGCCCTAGTTTTGGTAGTAAAGATGACGAATAATCTCTTAAGTGTCCTTTTGTAGCGCAACATGGAAGCATAATGTAAGTCACTGTAGTAGAAGTAATGTCACCTTTCAGTGGACACCAAGCGAGGGGTGTGCTTTCTTTTTCAGTCGGAGACACCATCTCCGTCATCTGTAATGACCAGGTGTGTCACTGTAGTGGCGGAGACTACGGTCCTTTACGACGTCGTCCTGCCGCACCTCACTGATCTTGACCTTGACAGTCTGGCTAGCACATGGCCGTGGGCGAGACCGCTTTTTCAGCTGAAGCGTCGTCGTTGTCAAGCGACTTTAAGGGCACCAATCAACGTCCGACGTCCAGTCATGATGTGGTGCCAGAGGCACAACGGGTGTGTGAAGGGCCTGAACCAGTTTGGTGTGATCTGGTGCGCCTAGGCTTTCATCCGCGTCTGACGAGATGGAACTAACTATATCACTCAGACCATTGCTCGCAGGTATTCTGTTGTATGAAGTGATTCGTCACAATTCTGGTAGAATGTTCTCGGATCACGAGCACTTGCAATGAAAGGGACGAAAATAAATCGGGATTCTGTAAAAGCGAATGCGAGTGATCACAATACATTTTGTTGAAAAGTGAAGCACGACATGTACCTTCGTAGGCAGTTACAACACGCTAATTTTTGGGAGCTAGTCAAGATGTTGAGTGCATTAGGATCGGTATCAGAAGCTCGGTGAGCTTAGTTTTTTGTTTTGACCACAGGTTGTAGATTATGATTTGCTTGTTTCTGATGCGTGAATTAAATGGCTTTAGCTTTAGGGTGTGGGCTCTAAGGAAAATAAATGTCCCATGGTAGGAATGTTTGGGTAAGCATGCATTTACTGCAGTGCCAAATGGATTACTTAATGTGTAAGAGTTGTGTGGTACGGCCACAGACAGGTTGTAATGTGATGATTTGAACAGAGGATTTTCTTCGCCGCAAGATATTAGCTCTCATGAGCCCGTTAATAATGAGATAGTTGTAGTACTAGTATCTCACCCCACCGCCTCCGTCACTCCTCCTCCAAATAAGTCCGTCGGTAATCGGACTTGTACTGCCTTTAACATAACACGTCTCCAAGGGAACCGGGCCTTGTCAACATGCGTCCCCAGTCCAGACGCTCGCTCGCTCGCGTCGCGCCCGCCCCGCGTCACCGTTCGTGTGGCGCCGCAGGCTATGACCTCGTGACCCCGACCGGGCCGACTGCCGCGGTCCACTGCTGTCGGCCCTGCCAGCCGTGGGGCAGACGGGACATGAAGGTACAATAGTTGTAAGTTAACGATAAATAAGCTCAATGAATAGGAGTTTCTGTAGCTAACTCAGTCTTACAGAGCAGAGTGTCATTGTGATAATCGTAAACAAGGGGTCTCGGTAAATGATAACAAGCAAATCGCGAATTCAGATAAATTATCTGAGCCTTTTAGGATGAACTGGAGAAAGGTGACTGCATTCTAAATCGAACATATCAATGTCTGGCTATTATGCCTATTCCCTACAGTTTGCTTTCAGCTATATTCAGGCCTACAAGGCGATTTTTTTAGGAAGGATAGTCGGCTTGAGTGCATACCCAGTGGTCTGTGGCACTCGCAAGGGGACAGGGTACTGGACCCCTTAGCGTCTGGAAATATTGGCGTCCTTCCGTCCGCTTAAGGCGCCCCTGTTGCAAGTCAAGTGCGTAGAACAAAGTTCAGGCATGGTGTCGCACCTAAAGTCGGACGAAGGACGACGCTAAGCCCAGATGGAAAGCGCCTTAAACCCTGACGCAAGGCGTTCGTAGTTCACGCAGAGTCACGTTGTCCAGTGCTAGGCCAAGCTCTGTCCTAAACTCAGAGAGGCTCTAAGCAGTGACACGGGGACCCCTAGTCTTGATAGAGGCCGAATGCCCCAATATATGCCATCTCAAGCCGAAGTCACTTGCTCTCATTGGGGCTGTGCGACGCACTCAGCTGCTGAGGCTGCGTGGCGTCGCCTGCCTCTCACTCAAGCGGGCGGGGCGGGCGCCGCGGGGAATCGAACCCCTTGCCTCTGGTTTCCCTGACATGTAACTTAACATCGACTCTTCATGCAGGTAATCGCCCCCCCCCCCCCATGCCGTAGTAGAGAGACGCCCCCAAAATTGAGGTCACGGGACACCCATAAACGTCTGTAGGGGAGCGCCCCATGCCCACTGGCAGATGTGATCCTCAAACTCTTCTGTGAATGCCCTCGGGCACCAGCAGAGAGGCGCCGCTAAGTCCTGGTAGAGAGGTGTCCTTAGTGTAAGTAGAGAGCATATCTAATTTTTCTTTCCTCATCACGTCAGGGCAACGAAGAAGACTCGTTGACCAACGAACAGCGCTGCTGGCCCCGTTGACAAGGGTTTTCGCCCGACGTCATGCATGGTATCACCCCCCCCCCCCCCCCCCTCCTCAACAAAATTAGACCGAAATGTTGTTATGAGGTCTGTAAAAACGCATGGCTACCCTCCAAAAATGTAGTCCCCCGTTCGAAAATCACGGTCGCGGGTCTGTCAGTGGTGTTGCCGCCGCGCATGGCAGCCCCCTCTGTACATGGCCAGTCGGGGTGGAAATCCCGCCGCCAGGGCGTTGCGTCAGTCTGGCAACAACCGCGCCTGTCCGGCACGCTTCCGCCTCCTCCGCGTCACGGTCACCGGCGTGTCCAGCCAAGATGACCGGAGGTGGGGCCGGGGTCATCTCCCAGCACATCACAATGGTGGTCAGTGGGGTCAGTCCGTGACTTTCAGGTAGTCAGTCGGTCTGTCAGTGAGTGTCCGGCTCCAAACAGCTGTGAGATCCTCGCCCCCCCCCCCCCCCTTGGCATCGGCCTGGCAACGCTGCTCATCGTGCATTCGTCTCAAGCGCTCGGCAAACAGCGCAAAGTGCCGCTGAGTGCACACTGAACAGCGGAGCAGGATAAACCGATGGCCTCCGAATGGCTAGACAGATTGCGAGCCGGCGTCCCCGGGAATGATACGCGCTGATGCAACGTGAAGTGTCTAGCCCTTGGCTGAGGTTGCAGCTTCGCGCTCAAGTTGCAACCCCATGCAAGTTTGCCGCCCTAGACCGCAGGCGCATGTCCGGAGGAAGGCGGTTGTCCCTCCTTGAAGTTGCTGCGAACCCCACTCTGAGGATGTGGCCCTTGTGGGGTCGTGACCCCGTGCTGGGCCCCTCTGCTGAAGTGGTCGCTGGACTGGCCCATCGGAAGCCTGTTGTCTGGCGCCGGGGGGGGGGGGAGGGGGGCAGCTCACCGGATGGCGTCAGTTCTGCGGTGCAGCGTCGACATCCTGCCAACGGCGGATGTACCCGACCGGTCTGCCGACGCTCGGCTGGAGGGCACGGGGACGTTGTGGCGTCCTGCTGACCCTCGACTGGGGGGAGTGGGGTCGTTATGGCGCCCAGGATGGCTATCCGGATGCCATGCGTTGTAATGCATGATGCGACTAATGCGGCGAGCTGTGCATGCGGTATACCTTTATGGCTTCTTCATTGCATAGCGTGTGGACCTGTCGGCGTGTGTGT